CCCTTTTCTCAGTTTTTCTGGCCAAAAATTTTGGAGTCATATTTGACTTCTTTTCCTCATCCCCTACATCTAGTCTCAGTAAATCCAGTGGCTTCATCCTCCAGATTAACTCAGAATCGGACTACTTCACACCTCCACTACTACCCTCTTTGTCCAAGCCACCCTATCTCTTGCCTGGGATACCACACTAGCCTCTTATCGGTGCCCCCACTCCCTCCTCGCTCCCACAGTCTGTCCTCCACATTTTCCCCGGTGATTGAATAATGAAAATTGGGTCATAGCCCTCCACAAAACCACCAGATGGCTTCCTCCCTCCCAGTAGAAGCCAACATCCTTTTGAAGGTCTGCAGGGCCTTAGGTGGTCTGATGTTCCATGACTTTTCCGATTTTGTGTCCTGTTCTGGTCCATTTGTTTCCACCACAGCCCCTGCCCTTCTTGCTGTTCATCAACCATACCAGACACACTCCTGCCTAAAGTACTTGCTCTGCACTTCCCTTGGCCTAGAATTATTTTGTCCAGATAGCCACATGACATATTCCCTCATTGCCTTCTTTTATAATAAAATATCACCTGATTAATAAGAAAAGAGACACCTAACCCATCCATATAAAATGACAACTCTCTGGCGATGCCTGGGTGGCTTAGTCGGTTAAGCATCCAGCTCTTAGTTCCAGCTCAGGTCATGATCTCAGTCTTGAGATCGAGTCCTGCATCAGTTTGTGCTCAGCACAGAGTCTGCTTGAGCTTCTCTCTGTCTCCCTTTGCCTCTCCCCCTGCTCATACTCAGGGGCACATTCTCTCTGAATGAACGAACGAATGAATGAATGAATGAATGAAATCCTTAAAATGACAACTCTGGCTTCCAGATATGCCCCTTCCCTCTATCACACATGATACGTTAAATATTTGCCTTTTAAAAGTTTGTCTTCTTTAAAAAAAAAACTTACGTCTGTCTTCATCTAGAATATAATTCCCATAAAAGTGGGCAGTTTGTTTTGTGTACTGTTACTTTTATTTCCTAGAATAGTGCCTGGTAGATAGTAGGTTTTCAGTATGTGTTAATTAAATTAATAAACAATGAGCTTGAAGTGAGGAGTTTTAACAGGGAACTGGCATGATTAAATTTGGAAAATCACTCTGGCTAGAGTGTGGAAAATGGATTGGCAGAGATTGACTTGAGCCAGGGAGAACTCTTAGGAGCTGTATGTTTCTATGCCTGAATACTTGCACTGTTATGGATATTTAATATTTTTCAACAATACACATGTTGAAAAATCTCATTTATTTATGCACTAGAGACTATGTGAGCTAGATAATGTGTGTGTTTACTGGTTCATCCAGCATATGGACTGATAGGGGCATCCACCCTTTGGGCCTCCACTAATTCCAGGCTGCTTCATTTCTCCTTATATTTTATCTCCCACAGAGCCAGGCTAGCTGAGGCTCTGCAGGGACTGAGTGAATCGATGGGCTGAGCCTGCTGCTACAAAAAATCCTCAAAGTTCCTATTTATATTTGGGTGTTTACCCATAAACACCAACTAGGCCAGGCTGTAGCATCTCAGCTATAATTAGCAAGCTCACTTAGCACATCAGTGCTATAAAATAAGCCCTGTCACTCTCCCAGATCCCAACATACAGGATGCAGTCAAATTTAATCTGTATATAAATTGTCTGTCTATGGAAGCCAGGATTCTGTTTATGCCACTGCCAACTCTGACATTCTCAGGGTCCCACAGCTTTGTAATATCTAAGGCATAATTATCCTGGATTATGTTCAGTGATTGCCAGTTTCACAGTAGCCTATGAACAAATTATTGTGTGTGACAGATAATCAATTAACAAAACATGTCAGCGGCAGCATTTCTATGCATATGCTATAAAATGTAACATGGAGCTCAGGTGATTTTATAATTTAAAATACAAATGCATGTTTTTTATTATGAAAGTGAATTCTAGCATATTAGCAGGTAAACCTGCTTCTATAGTATTTTACCCTAACTGAATATTGTTGACATAATTTAATTTATGGAAAGTATTTATTTTTTGCCACCTCATAGAAATGAGTCCTGCTGGAATAAGTTGCCATATCTGCAGCCTGTAGTATTTTCTAATGTAAGAGGACCTTGTTCTCTTAGAATTAAAAGGTCACTTAAATGAATTAGTAAAATATGGGCACTGGAAATTCAGTTCCAAAAACATTTGTTGTCTAATCTTGAAAGATAAAATTTAAACTCAGAAGTATTTTATCTTGATTTAGTCTGTAATTATAATTGTGTACTAATCATTAGAATGTACAAAGACACAAACTATAAAAGCTCACTCAAGAAATAATAGCCAGAATAGCCCTCTATATTAAAGAAGTGAAATTTGTAGTTTTAAACCTTTCCACAGTGAAAGCTCCAGGACCAGACATTTAAGGAAGAAATAATACCAATTCTGCACAAAGTCTTCTGGAAATTTGAAGAGGATGGGTTATTTCCTAACTCATTCTATGAGGGCAGCATCACCTTGATACCAAAACCATACAAAGACATTACAAGAAAACTACCGACCAATACCTCTCATGCACAGAGATACAAAAAAATTTAACAAAATTTTAGATGAAGTCCCCAATATCTGGAAAGGATAGGCAATGAGGTTTATCCCAGAAATGCAAGATGGGTTTAACATTTGAAAATCAATCAATGTAATTCATCATATTAGCAGACTAAAACCAAAACCATGTGATCATATGATTATCTCTGTAGACACGTAGAAAAGCATTTGACAATATCCTGATATAAAGTCCCATCAAACTAGGGATAGAACTAATCATAGAACTAAATGTGTAACCTGAACCCATAAAACTTCTAGGAGGGAACATTAAAGAAAACCTTTGTGACCTTGAGTTAGGCAAAGATTTCTCATACACATCACCAAAGACATGCTCCATGAAAGGAAAACTGAATGAAGAACATCAAAATCGAAAACTGATCTCCCAAAGACACAATTAAGAGACTGAAGAGGCAAAGCACAGACTAGAGAAAATATTTCAAATCATATATTGATAAAGGACTTGAACCTAGGTTGTATGAAGAACTCTCAAAACCCAATAATAAGGAAACAACCTATAGAACAATAGGCAAAACATGAAATCACACAATTCGCAAAAGAATAGAGGCAGATGATAAATAAGCGCCTGAATAGATGCTTAACATTATTATTTATTATGGGAATGTAAATTAAAAGCACAGTGAGATACCACCACATAGCCAGTTGAATGTCTGAAATTTGAAAGACTGGCCATACCAAGTTATGGCAAGTATGTGGAACAACTGGAACGCTCATACACTGCCGGTAGAAATGTAAAATGGTGCAACCACAATGGAAAACAGATTGAGAGATTCTTAAAAATGTAAACATACCTATCATATGACCCAGCCATTCCGCTCCTAGGCATTTGCTTAAGAGAAAATGTACCTGGCTTGTACATGAGTGTTTATTACAGCTTTATTTGCCATGACTAAAAACTGGAAACAACCCAAATATCCATCAACAACTGAACAGGTAAACAAATTTTGATATATCCATGCAATTGAAAACTACTCAGCAATAAGAAGGAATGAACTGTCGATACATGCAGCAACATGAACGAATTTTAATCATGCTGAGTGAAAGTAGCTAGATAAAATGGAGTATGTAGTGCATGATTCCATTTTTACAAAAGTCGTGGTAATACAAACTAATATATAGTGACAGAAAGCAGATCAGTGGTTGCCTGGGAATAGGGAAGGGGGTGTGGCAAGGACAGCAGAATGGTGAGGTTACAAAGGAGCACCAGAATTCTTCTGAGGGTTTCATTCGCTTGATTGTGGTAATAGTTTCCCAAGTATATGCATATAATAAAACATCAAAAGGCACACTTTAAATATGTGCAGTATCTTTTATGTCATTTATACTTCAATAAAGCTATTAGAAAATTAGGACAGTGGAGTAAGATTGATACACTGATTTGCCATGATTTTCCTTGTCTTGAAAGCTGTGAAATTTTTGGTGAAAAGTAGATAAATTAGAAACAAAAGTTGAGTTTACTTACAGTTATAAAGTTGTACTGTCTCATCAGTTTATTTCCTCAGTTAATTGTTTACCTATGGCAATGATTATTTTTAAAATATACTTTTATGTTGAAATGAAGAAGTGGTTTTCGAACATGGTCATGCACAAGAATATCTGTGGGGATTTGTTAGACATGCAGATTTCCAGGCTGTTCTGAATCATGGGGGTAGGAAGCTACAAGTTCGGCAAGCTTCCCAGGCAATTTTGGCGTATGTAGCCATAGACCACATTTCAGAATCTTGGTAGAACAATGTTCATGTCAAAATTGTATGAAGTCGGATGGACACTATGGACCACCGGTGCCAGAATGAAATGGAATATTCTTGGTATATACACGCATATACACCAACCTCTTAGAAAGGGCAGTTGACTTATTCGAAAGGGGTAGCAAATTTGCGTTTTGTTTATGTTGGTTGATATTCCCGATGCCTGCCCCCAGGTGCTAGAAAGAATTCAGGTGCTATAACGTTTCCTTTTCTCCTTTTTCTCTTCTGCTTCTTCCCTCTCCTCCTTTTCCTTTCTTCATGATAGTCAATGACCTGCCTTTGGTGTGTGTATAATAATCATGTGCTACATACAAATACTGCTTTCACTAGTCCTTTCAATAGTGAAAGGACAGGGGCAGGAGGAAGAAAGAACCATCTTATACTTTATCGGGTACCTTAAAAAAATGAACACACAGTAAGAGCAACCTTAATTCACCACTTTTAACTTTGAGATCATGGAGAGCAAGAAAGCCTTTTCAATACATGCATTTCTTTGTGCCTTTCTAGGGACTGATTGATGGTTGCTCACTTGGACAATCATAGATGTGTAGCTCACACTTGGACCTCGTACCTTTACGTGACTGAATGTCCCTTATTGTCTTTTTAGTACTCTGCTTATTCTTTTGTTTTCCACAGACATGATGCCATTATTATCTCAGGAACTGAAATGGCCAGACAAATCCAGAAAGAAATACAGAGAGGTGTGGAATCATGGATTTCCCTTGGGAACAGAAGACCTCACCTCAGTATCATTTTAGTGGGCGATAACCCAGCAAGTCATACGTACGTCAGGAAGAAGATCAGAGCCGCCTCTGCTGTAGGTGGGGATGCGTTTTAGTTGTTCTTGTTACTAAATCATGTGTTCTGGTTTTACTTCAAAATGTGGTCATTATCCGTGATAATTGTCAAATAAGTGCGATTTGAATAACATTTATTATTATTAGAAATTAGTTACCAAAGCTTATGTTCATTTCTTAATCTTTGTCTTCAGCTTTCTTACTGAATTAACTCAACGTGATTTCAGATCCTATGGTGACATATCAGAGGAACACTGCACATTTAAAGGGCCCATTTTTAGGCACAGCATAGGGAATGTAGGCAACGGTGCTCTAATAGGGTTGTACTGTGACAGGTGGTAGCTACACCTGTGATGAGCACAGCAAACAGAATAGACTTGTCAAATCACCAGGTTGTACCCCTGAAAAACTAATGTAATATTGTATGTCAACTGTATTTCAATTTTTTTAAAAAGGCCCATTTTTATTATATTTGCTCGAATCAGATAATAAACCTGGCCAGTTCACTCTGCTGAACTTGGCCTAATAGCAGCGGCAGTGGTATTGGTATCTTCATTCAACCCACTAATAGTAGCTTATCACAAATAAATGCAATGGGATACCGGCCCAAAAAAATGCACGTGAATCATGACAAAACATCTGTGCTATTCGGGAAATCCCTTTGATGTTGGTGATGGTGCTTTGAACATCATTTTTGTAGGAGGGCCTTTCCTTCCAGTGGGACAGGAGGAAACCAATTGCACACCCTGTAAGACACCATGAATGAAAAAAACCACATCTTTGTTAGTCCAGTGACTTTCTGTATTTGTTTTTCTTCCAGGGATCTGTAGTGAGATCATTCTAAAACCTAAGGATGTTTCACAGGAAGAACTTTTGGACATAACTGATCAATTGAATATGGACCCAAGAGTCAGTGGTATATTAGTTCAGTTGCCACTGCCAGGTACAAAAGGTTCTTCTATATGTCTGCTTTGGCTTTAGGTTAAAGGGCATCTTTTGACATTGTTTCAAAACACCACAAGTAATTTAGAAAATATGTTCATGAAGGGACTGTTAGACTGGCATGTCATTGTTGACAAATCCCAAATGACTTATTGCTTACAATGACTGAAACTTGTGAAAGAAAAATTTAGGCAAAAATTACATGCAGTCCTCACTTTACACAATAGTGCAAGACCATAAAAATGAGTGTGTAAGGCGAAACCCGATAAAGGGATCCTAAAAATCAATGGGAAAAATAACAGTTGTAATGTGACCTTTAAAATGTTCTCCTCAAACATTAAAAACTCTTACTGTGGTTCATAAATATATAGGGAAATGAAAAAAAAAAGTAAAACTTCTATTTGTTCAGTATACTATAATTTAAAACATTAAAAACATCGAGGGGCGTCTGGGTGGCTCGGTCAGTTGGGTGTCTGACTCTTGATTGTGGTTCAGGTCATGATTTCAGGTTTGTGAGATCCAGCCCCACGTCTGACTTCCCGCTGCGCATGGAGCCTGCTTAAGATTTTCTCTTTCCCTCTTACTCTGCCCCTCCCCACTCCCTGTCTAAAACAAACAAACAAACAAAAAAACTTAGAAACATTGAGAATTAAAGTTATTTCTTGCAAAAAACCTTGATCAGAGGAGTTTGAACAGTAACTTGCCTTCTTCTCATCATATAACTTACAATATGGCACAAGCATCTTTTCTGTGCCTTGGTGAATTGAATTATATATTCCTTTCTAAGTTTGGATCAGCTTCCATTTTGTCCTTTGTAATCATTTGCTGAGCAATCTTCCTGTGGTTTGTAGTTTTTTCAAAGTTGTGAAGTATCCCTGAGAGTTTCTTTAACGTGATGCTTTATGTGGGTGCCACTTACTCTGGGATGTTGTCATCCTTTTTGTCACAAGAACCTTCTTCATTTGTGTGAAACAGTTGGCCTTCACTAATCTTCTGTGGCTCACAGCCGCATTGCTCCAAAGCGCACAGCGTCAACATTCCAGGTCACCTAGTTCTTGGACAAGCCGTTTCCATTCAATCAGAATCCTCCTATAGTGACCTAATCTTGTTTTCTGCGTTCATAGTTCTTACCTTCCCGCAGGCCCGGGCTTCTGCTGTCTTTGCTTTGTTGTCGCCGTTTTCAGACCTTCTGTTCACATCTTAATTTCACTTCCAGAGTCACCGCATTTTCTCTGCTGCCCTGTCACCTTTACAGGTTAATTCCCTTTGTCAATGATCTACTTGGTGAAATGTCATGTGAGCTGATCACTGGGAGACAAGGAGGAAGGATGATGTGCCATTTATGTTTGAGCTGAATTAACGAGTGTGCAGTGACCAATCATCCACAGACTTGTAAAGAAATGACATGTTGCTCACTGATCCTGATGCTCATCTTTAATTACATAGTGATTTGTGGACCAGAGGGCTTGCAGCTCTTACATAATTACTCACAGTGAACTGACACCATAACTGACATTTGAACTGTGTTGTTGGACGGCTGGGGTTATTTAACTCAATGGTGGCTCTGAAATTCATGCCTGTTTCAACTAAGTACAGTGAGGACTTCTGGCTGAGTATAGATGACAGTAGTTTTGAGTTCTGTAAATTTTGCAGAAAGCAAAAGCTGAATGGTGCTATTGCATGGGTTCTTTGTATGGTATTAATATGATACTTTATCCAGCAAAATAACTTAATGCCTTAGTATATAACTTTTGCACTGTCTAAATTGTACCAAAAATTCACATTTCTAATTCTCTTACGCGTTTATTAACATCCCAAATCTGTCCCCAGAAATTTGGCAGTGGGCTTAAACCCAGTTGTTTGGCTCATTTTTCTACTGTATTTGCCAAGCAATCTTCTTGTGGTTTGTAGTTTTTTAAATTTCTCCCACCTCTATTTGTACTGAATTTAAATAGTTGTAAAAAATGTCACAAATTTATAAATATACAAATCTAAAACATTAGATTAAGTTTGTCTTAAAAATTAAGTTCCTATCTGTAGAAATTTTACCCTTTTAGGGCAACCTTTCTCATTTGGCGAATTTATTGGAAAATTGCCACTAGATGGCACTGTTGATCTGTCTGTACTAAAATTGCTTAGTTCTGTGTTCATTTTAGACAGTGAGACGCGTAGAGGCAAAGGGACTGTGGTAATAACAAATACCTGGATGCTCTAAGAAAAGACAAGTCTCTATCTTGCTGAAAAGCCCAGTAATATACGAAATAATACTGGCTAAAACTTATTACATTAAGGATTTATTATGTCTCAGGCACTTTACATTTATTACTTCATTAAGTCCTCACAATAATCCTTGGGGGTTGGAGCTATTTATGTATATTTTACTAATGAAGGATTTGAGGCACAAAGTGGTTAAGTAACTTCCCTTAAGGTCACTGGAGCTAGTAAATTGAGCTGGGATGTGAATCCAGGAAGACTGGTTCCTCATGCCATTACTTTTAACTATTATGTTACCCCTCACCAGCACATCAGTGTTAGTTAGTGAGTAATGTATCATACTGTGTGGCAAGTATTCCTTTATATGGATGGTTTTATCTAATCCTCAAGGCAGTCTTATGAGTAGGGATTATCTTCTTTATTTTATATATGAGGAGACTCGTCCACATTATTTACCTACTTAATCTACATTATACTGGGACATACGGTTTGTTGATTGATAGAAAAAGTCGGTTATCATAAAACAATGCATATTTACCTTAAATATTGTATTATAACGTAAATCATTTAAATATTCATTCATCAATCTTTTGATGGGGATCCACAGCTCTTTGGAACCTACTGATTAGAATTTTGAATCATCTTCTGGCATTAATAATACCTGTGATTCATTGCCTCTCATTTTCAGTTTGAGATGAAACTATCTCAGTGAAAATTCATATTGATTTTTAAAATATCTCCCAATCTGGGGCACCTGGGTATCTCAGTCAGTTAAGCGTCCAACTCTTGATTTTGACTCAGGTCATGATCTCAGGGTTGTGAGATTGAGCCCTGCTTCGGGCTCTGCACTCAGTGTGGAGTCTGCTTGGGATTCTCTCCCTCTCCATCTTCCCCTCTGCCTGCTGGTGCTCTCTAAATAAATAGAGAGATAGATAGATAGATAGATAGATAGATAGATAGATAGATAGATAGATAGATAAAATATTTTTTAAAAAATCTCCCAGTCTTCATGATTGTCTTGTCCGTATCTAAATCCTTCCTAACTCGGGTACCTGAGTGGCTCAGTTGGTTGGGCGACTGCCTTCAGCTCAGGTCATGATCCTGGAGACCCGGGATCAAGTCCCGCATCGGGCTCCCTGCTCAGCGGGGAGTCTGCTTCTCCCTCTGACCTTCTTCCCTCTCGTGCTCTCTGTCTCTCATTCTCTCTCTCTCAAATAAATAAATAAAATCTTTAAAAAAAAATAAATCCTTACTAACTCATTTTAGTTCTCAAGGTCTTTCCAAACATTCATTGTAGTTTTTATAGAAATGGCTTCTTCTTCTCACACTCCATTGTTATTATTATATTTTATTGTATTTTATTTATTATGTAGTTTGTTTATACCATTTTTAATTAAATTACGTATTTACTGTGAAAGAACTAGCAAAAACAGTTTAAGAAATACACACAATTATCTCTTGAGTATCATGAAAGTCAACTGGTATGAGCAGGAGTAGTTTTTTTAACTGCTTTCTGGTTTCTTCAGCAAGCCCTGAGCATCAGCTTCCATGTTTTACAGAAGAAATGGAACTCCTTTAGTCATTTTGGTAGGTTGGCTTTGTGGAAGTAGGTTGAGATAGCCCCTCGCATCCAGGTCTTAATAAGATGGTTACGACAAATCAGTGAAACAATGAGCAACTTGACAAATGAGATGATTCTAGTTGATCACACCTCCACTTGTCTATCATTCGGTTAAAAATTTGGATTCCAAATTATGTCATGATTAGAAATGGGAGATTATTTCTCACAGTTAGGGCAATATCTTGAGTAAAAGAAATTCTGACTTAGAATTATAATTCTGATGTTGCCGGACAAGTTTGCATAGGATTAATCAGAGTATACAGAAGGCTTCCATGCATCTCATTTAGATAAAAACCAAGGAAATGAGATAGAATTCTGCCCTATTTGGTGGTAATGAGTCTGTCTCAGCCCAGACCCCCTTTTGTGTTCAGAAGCTGTGCAACTTTGGTCAGGATTGGAAGCATTCAGGATAGAATTGTGTGTCCGCAGTCATGCGGCCTAGCTGTTTTTCCTGAAGCTGATCCACAAACTACAGAGAAATAAAAACAACCACATGTGATGCTTCCCTACTCCTATCCTGACTGTGTATCTGTCAGTATCAGTAAGTGGTCATTTTGTCAAGGCCAGAAAGATGTCTGCTATTCGTGTTCTATATATTTTTTCTCCTAATCAGGTATTATTTGCTTTTAGCTTTTATTGAGTTATATCTATTGAAGTGATATTATATTAAAAGTTATATCATTTGTAGAGTATGTATCAGTATGTAATGTGAAAAAAAGGGTGAAATAATGAGCTTTAAAAATTGAGAGCCATTCTTTTCTAACTAAAACAAAGAAAGAGAAATTTTACTATCTAGAAGCTTAAAGTACCCTGGAAATTTGCTGTAAATATTTGTTATAGTAGGGGATTTGGTACAGGAGAAGTTTGGTTTCAATGGATTTCGATTATATGAACTGTATGAAAGCATTCAGATGTAAGCCTATAAAACAGCAAGCACTAAATGATCTTTTAATGTGGTGTTTTACTATTGCTTTATGACAACTTCTATTACTGGTATCTGTAATTGCAAATATTTACCATTTACTATTGCCAGGCACTGTTCTAATGTGCTTTCTATGTACTAAATCATTTAACACTCACAACAACTCTTACCAGAAGGTGCTATTTTTTTCAATCTATGGTGTATAGTTAAGGATATTAAATGAGCTGAGAAACTTGTGTAAGGT